TCCTGCCTGCAGACAGGTAAGATATTCATCTGGTTTAAAAGCTGAGGCAGTCAAGGCTCAGAGATTAAAATGAGCTTGTCCAAAATCACACGGAAAGTAAGTAACATGACAAGCTGACCACCTTCCATGTTTTTGTTTGTTTTTAAGCTAAATAACCATTGGCTTGGAAATTTTACTTAATAAGTCATGGCCTGAAAAAAGACGAAAAGAAAATTTTGAAATAAAGGTGACAGTGAACAAAATCGCCGTAGGAGTATAGTAAACAAAAAAGAAAGCAGAAACAAGAAAAACACTAAAGTTAAGAAAGCCTATAATAAGGAGCATAGTAAGGGCTTCTTTGCCTTTTATCAGTGAAATTATTAAAGAATAGCATTCTAGGAGAAAGAACAACAAAATATAAAGCAGGTGGAGAATCAAGTTACGTAGTTAAGAGATTAACTACAATCCATGGCAGGGTAGTGAATATCATTAATTCAAACTGGGCAATTAAAAATAATAAAACTGGTTAATAAGATAAAGAATAATGGGACGACAGATGCGTAATAAAGTTTTCAAAAAAATTTATGTACACAAAAAATTCTTATCATGCAAAAAAAAAAAAAACACAGCTCAGATAGATCCATCCTGGAATTAACACCCAGGTATTTCATTCCCAATCTGGCCAGCAGCTTCTATCCTCAGCTTTAGCGGGGCTGAGGGTAATTCTCTGCCCTTCAGGTGGGTGACCCTCAACCAGAAACAGGGAAAGAATATATTTTAAAAAATGGAATTGGTGAAAATAGTAATTTTCATACTTTTGTTAGGGCTAGGAATATTTCACTTGTTATTTCAAGTGTGTGAAACATTTAAGAGAATCTGACACATTAGGAAATCGATACTTAAGGCTTGTGGTTTGTATTTAAAAGATTTTAAAACAATTAGCAGTAATCTTGACATTTTAATTTGAAATACTGAAGGACAGTTTGATTGACTAAGTTTATACAGAGTGTTTGAAAACTGATTGACTAAGGCATGCATTTGGCTTTCAGTGTGAAAGTGCTCAGGAAGACTTGTATTAGATTTGTAAAGCTGCCTTCTCAATTTAGTGTGCTTGGGAAAATTAAGCATATTGGGGGTTACAGTTTGAAAAGTCTAAAGGAATGCAATTAATCAAGTTTGAAAATGATGTGAAATGTTTAGGAGAATTTAATCTGTCAAATGTATAAGCTAACTGATCACTAATTAAGGAATAAATGAAAATGAGTGTTTTAAATATAATCCCAAATTACTAGATTTATCAATAAAATAAGATTTATAAATTGAGCTTAAAGGCTTATGAAAATACTCAGCTTTATAAATTAAAACACAGTAACTATTAGTATACCTTTCATATACAAAAGACCCTCAAATATTGAAAGCCCAAATGACGATGAAGATGACATTAATTTCTCCAATCAAAAAATGAGCATTTTTCAAAAAAAAAATTGAGATATTAATAGGTAGTCCCTAAAGAAAAGAGGTCTGTGGTTTGTGGTGGGGGGAACTCAGGAAGGAGCTACTAACTACAGTCCCTCTTAGAAATTCCTGGTGTACATTATTAAAGGTGTTAAGAAGGATTGCAATTAAGAAATGTTTCATATTTCAGTTTTTGACATAGGAGTTTGTAAATGCTTATTAACATCTTGCAGAATTACCAGAAATGCTCTAGAAAGCACAGTCTGGGAAGCCCTACATTAGACAGCAGGGAAAAACTCCTTCAAGGATTCTTCTTCGTCAGAATACTAGGAACCGTAAGGAATGAAAATGAAAGAGATGGCAGGAGGCTGAAGTTTCCATTATTTGGTATTACCACATAACAGCTGGCAGGTGGGCTGCCTTAATGACATGGTATAGTTCTACCTCGGGATTTTTTCACGTATTATCACTGCTCAGAACTACTGTTTGTGCTTTCCTGAGTATAACACTTGAGCCGGTTCTCTTCTTAAAACTCCACGCATATATAAGATTTTTCACTATAACCTATATCCTGGATGATTCCAAAATCCTTATCTCCAGTCCTGACTTCCATTTTCAGATTCAAATCCAACTGCCTAAGGGACATCCCTGCCTGGTGGACCTAAAATAACTTCAAATTCAACACAGTCAATACTGAGTCCATTCTTTTCCATCCAAAAGTTGTTTGTACTGTAGCTTTCCACAATTCTGTTACAGTATCCCATCTACCCAGGTGCTCAATCTAAAAACTTGAGAAAATTCTAGAGTCCCTCATCTCCCTCAGCCTCCACATGGGTAAGACCTTTTGCAACACATCCCTGATACCACTTAAGTTCATCCTTTTTTTCCCATTTTGGTTTTCACTACTGACATTTAAGATGTCATTATCTTCTTCGCTGGGGCTTTGCAACCTTCTCTGGTGGGTTGTCTTTCTTTCTTTCTTTTTTGCAAGTCTTTTCATTTTTAATATTCAAAAAAGTTTCATTTTTTATTTAGCTTTCTGACTCTGTGCTTGCGCCTTCAACACTTTCACAACGATTTTCTGCTCCTCAATAAGGAATGCATGCTTGATCCTGTCATGAACACATTTAGCACACATGGAACCACCATAGGCCCTGCCGACATGTTTGTTTGTTTTGGACAATCTCATAAGAACTTTAGATCTTATAGCACGAACCCCTCAAAGTCTGCCTGGGCACATGCCATATGCAGATTTTGGTGCTTTCCCAACCTTCTTGGTATAAAGGTAAACAATGCTATTACCAGGGATTCGGGACAGCCTAATTTTGTTAGAGGCTTTGTTGTAGGAAAGCCTACATCAGTATGTCAAACGCTGGACCCTTTTGAGTACCTGAAGGCAACCTCCCCAGAAGAGTGGTTGTCTTTCTTATGATCTCCCTCTGTAGTCCATAGTATGCAGGTGTTTCGAATTTTGTTTTTTGGCATAAGTCATTCAATGCTTTCCCATCATGTACATATAATATTTTAAATTCTTGGTATAATATCCATAGCCCTTCATGCTCTGGCTGCTACTTACCTCTCTAGACCCCTCTCTCACTATGACCTCCAGGCTTATGCTGTGTTCTGGACACACCCAACTTGTCACACATGCAGTGATCCTTCTGATCTCTCTATCTGTATACATCTTGTTTTCTCTGGAACACGCTTACTATATTCCCTTCTCCCAAAAAAACTCCTAACTCACCCATGAAGATTCAAATGAGACGCCACCTCCTCTGGGGAGCCTCCCCTATCCTTTATATATTTCCTTATTCTTCTGGCCTAGTTCACCACACTTTATTCATATATGCAAAAGGCACTCATTTCAAATTGCTGCAATTGTTTGCTTTACATAGCTGCCAGGCCACTAAGACTGAAACAATGTGGAGTATTTTCCAGATATTTTAAAATCTTTGAAAAATACCTGGCATAGTACCTAAATTAAGTCAATACTCTAATTATTTTATTTTTATTTTTTATTTTGGATGTGGAGGCTCACTCTGTCACCCAGGCTGTAATGCAGTGGCACGATCTCGGCTCACTGCAACCCCCGCCTCCCAGGTTCAAGCAATTCTCCTGCCTCAGCCTCCTGAGTAGCTGGGACTATGGGCGTGTGCCACCACGCCCAGCTAATTTTTGTATCATTTAGTAGAAACAAGGCTTCACCATATTGGACAGGCTGGTCTCAAACTCCTAACCTCATGATCCACCCACCTCGGCCTCCCAAAGTGCTGGAGTTACAAGCTTGTGCCACTGTGCCCGGCCAATACTCTTAAATTTTTTTTTAAGTCTAAGTTATGATTTGACTATTTTCTTCTTAGTCTAATTCTCCGTTAGAAATTCCATCAGAAATTTCCATCTCACTATCTTATCTATTTCCTCAACTTCTCTTTTGTTTTTTTTTTCTTAAATTGGCCAATAGTAAATGATAAATGTCCACTCCTATTTTTCCTATTCATTTCTATAATTAAAGCACAAAATATAGTCAAGTTTCAAATATGTTAATTTTAATATATGTCCCTCTCTTCTGTTCACAAATCCATATGCCTGAAGGACATCAGAATCTGAAGTACTTGGGCTGATTCTTCTGTTAGAGGCCTTAATCTTTCTTCCTCTACGGAGAGAATTGTTTCAATTCAAAAATTACTGAGCAACCACAAAGTAGTCACGTCAGGTATGAAGATAACAATTCTCCCATACCTAGCAAAAACTACTCATGACAGTGACCCTTTCATTCTTTTGAGCCCTATTTAAGTACTCCAAGATTTAGTACAATTTGCTATCTACAGGAAGTCTTTCCTAATCACCCTCTCTCTGTTGTCTGTCCTTTGTGTTTAAATAAAACACAAGTATTTGGTTATACCAAGGTACTCATAATTTTATTCATTAATATGTTTCCTTCTACTTGCTGTCAAATTTCTCTGTCTCTAGTTTTTGTCTCGCCTCAGGAGCAGGACCATTATTTCCTGTTTATTTCTGTGTCACTGATAAAACCTAATGCAGTGCTCTGCATACTTTATGAACTCAAAAAACACATGTGCTGTAAAAGGAAACATTATAGGACTATGATTTTCCTGATTCATGTATTAATATAGTTAATCTAACAACTCACTGAGTTAATAGACTTTTTGTAATCAAGTTCCTAGAAAGTCAGGCTTAGATAAAAGCAAAAGAGGATGCCAGTACCTTATTAAATATATAAATAAATTCAAGGGAATGTGACATTCCAATAGCCTCTTATCACTCTTGTTAAGTGCTCAGGGTAAGGACTGCTCAGGGTCAGATGGGAAGCTCCTGCATGACCCTGGCATGGATAATCATGTCCTGAGGTTGTGCAAGGGGAATGCCACGAGTCCCAAATCAACAAGCTCATTCTATTCATAGCCTGGAATAAATTACGCACTTCAGGGAATGGAAACTGCTATTCTCCCCAGGAGGAAACAGGGCTATATGAGCAGGTCAGAGTACCTGCCTTGGGCATGTCAGGTGCCCAGCCAGCTGTGAAGTTCTTTCTAGCCTTGCTCAGTTGGAAGCAGCATAATAGGGCCCATTGTTAACACTGAGAAAATCAGGACCCTCAACTTCAGAAAGAATGTATTTCTCTTTTTCTAAACCTCAATGAAGAAAGTTCTGGAATAAGGCCTTAAGGATCAATGAAATTGTCAGAAAATTAAATAAGAACATCTAATACTCCAATGAGGAGGAATTAGCTTTAGACTAACTTGTTACTTGAATTAGACATTTTGCACAAGGTAATGGGAATACACAATCTACTCATTTTGAACCTATTTAATCCCTCTACGTTATAACAACAGCAATTCCTGATCATTTCCCTGTATTTTTAAATAATTCTGTAGAACAAAATTTAGTAAAGATTAACCTGTGACTGGATTTCCATGTTATAGAACTTCAAAAAATAAAGAAGGTGGCCCATAACCAGCGGTATCTGATGGGTCACCCATTGGCTCCAGAGCATGGCTTGATCAGGTCCTATCATCAGACTTGCTTCATAGTGTCCATTCAACATTATTGCAAACACATGCTGCATTGTGCTCTTTGTGTTGGTCTGCAATTAACTTTCGCCTACCTTCATTTCCACCTCAAAAAATTAGGCAGTAGGTGAAAGGAAAACAGCTTGAGAACAGGATCTTAATGTCACTTAGTGGAACACAAACTCTCTGTGAGGAAGGGGAAAGGCACAAAATTCCCCTATTCCAGTGTTTTGAAACAAAGAGGTTGATCCTAAACAGAACTAATAGCCTAAACTAAATAGCCTAAACAGAACTAGTTTTTGTTTTGTTTTGTTTTGTTTTTTTCTGAGACGGAGTATCACCCTGTTGCCCAAGCTGGAGTGCAATGGCAGGATCTCGGCTCACTGCAAACTTCACCTCCTGGGTTCAAACAATTCTCCTGCCTCAGCCTCCCGAGTAGCTGGGATTACAGGCACCCGCCACCACACCCAGCTAATTTTTGTATTTTCAGTAGAGACAGGGTTTCACCATATTGGCCAGGCTGATCTCGAACTCTTGACTTCGTGTTCCACCCACCTCAGCCTCCCAAAGTCCTGGGATTACAGGTATGAGCCACTGCGCCTGGCCAATAAAACTAGTTTAAATCAGGTAGCAAAGCACCACTAGTTATCCAAAATAATGAAAAAATGTGGCTTATAATAAGATATAAGTTCTATAAATAATTCTATTATGTGTAATCTTTGTAAGAGACGATGTTTCAAATTTGACCATTGCATATTAACTAAGATATTTTATAGAAGACAATAAAAAACCTTTTTAACTGCATGACACAGATAAAGAAAAGCTCTCTGTACCGAATATGTACTCGGTTGCTATCCACAAGTAAGACTATGAAGTTCCTATATCATTGAGAAAAATCTAATTGATACAATTATGAGTTTATTGTTTGATCTAAAAGTTTCACTGTGGCTGGATACAATGGCTCACATGAATAATCTCAGGGCTTCGGGAGGTGGAGACAGGAGGATCACTTGAAGCCAGAAGTTTAAGACCAGACTAGGCAACATAGCAAGACTCTGTCTCTACAAAAAAATCATAAAAATCAGCCAGGCCTGGTAGCATATGCCTGTAGTCCTAGCTACTCAGAAGGCTGAGGCAGGAGGATCCTTTGAACCCAGGAGTTTGAGGCTGCAGAGAGCTAGGAGATAGAGCAAGAGCCTGTCTCTAAATAAATAAATGTTTCACTGATGTATCCTTAATGCCTAGAACAGTGCCTTGAAGCACTCAAATACTGATTGAATAAATGAATGAATGCCTATCCTTAATCACCATATGTATGTTATTTTTTTAAAAAAAGAACCAAAAACAAAACAAACTTTAAAAGCTCAGAAAATTAAGGACTTTCAGATTCAGCCCTTCACTGTTAAATAATTTTTAAGTGAATAGGTTATACCATTAAGAAAATATTTTTGGCCAGGCGTGGTGGCTCACACCTGTAATCCCAGCACTTTGGGAGGCTAAGGCAGGTGATCACAAAGTCAAGAGATCAAGACCATCATGGCCAACATGGTGAAACCCTGTCTCTATTAAAAATACAAAAATTAGCTGGGTGTGGTTGCACCCACCTATAGTCCCACCTACTCAGGAGGCTGAGGCAAGAGAATTGCTTGAACCCAGGAGGTGGAGGCTGCAGTGAGCTGAGATCATGCCACTGCACTCCAGCCTACTGACAGAGCAAGACTCCCTCTCAAAAAACAACATCAAAAAATGAAAATCTTTTTAATGTTTTTTGGCAACGGAATACATAAAATGATGACAAATAGACGCACACATTTATATGCTCTACACAGTCTTGACAAAAACGTAAAGCAAGAAAGAAAATCTTTCTCAGTTATACACAATGAGTCCATGCATATTTTAATATAACCATTTTTTTATATGAAGGGAAAATGCTACATAAATCTAATTGATACAAAAATATGTTTATAATTTAAAAGTTTTCTTTATCTTATTTTTAAAGATGATGACAAGAGATACTTTGTTACTCTATATTTTTAATATCTATTCCAATCTTAAAATTTTGCTTTCATTTGAAAGACTAATACTCTAATTCTAGGTACTAGGAGACAGATGGAATCAAATTAATAAATATTAAAAACATCTTTAAAAGGAAATGAAATATTATACTCTAAATTATAAATCACATTTTGAAAAGGGCTTATTATATACCAGGTATTATAGTAGGTACTATATATATCACAATACTAAAATATGTAGTTTTTATTTAATATAAAGTGCTAAGTACAATATCCATATATTTGACTCTTACAAAAATCCTATGAAGTAGATGGGATAGTCTCCATTTTAAACATGAAGAAGCTGAGCATACAGATATTAAATAACTTGCTGATAGGTCACATAGCTAATATATGACGAAGCCAAGATTCAAATTCAGGGTCTGGCTCCTGACTTCATGTTCCTAACCACAGTGCTATACTTTATAAACAATGACATTTTAATTTTTTGTGAAAATATCACAAATTAAGTATATTGTGGGAAATTGTAAAGATTGCAAGGTTCTTCAAACTGACTGCACCATGGATTACACCACAGTCATGCCAATGGTGACCCCTGTGACCCACACATACACCTCTAGATAGCCTCCCAGAGCCAGAAAGTCTAAGGTAACAGAAAAATCGCAAAAGGAGAGGAATAGCTAGCTCCTGCAGTGCCTGATTACCCAACCTTGCAAAATTTCACCATTGTTCCTTCCTCAACTGATAAGTTGACCTTGTGACACTGGACCCTGTGGCCTGATTAACTGACCTTATGACACTCTACCACTCTTCCTGCCTCAAGTGATAGGTCAGCCTTGTAACACTGGATGCTGTGACACCCCCCTGCCCCTGGTTTACAAAAAAAACACTCTACACTGTAACTTTCCATTACTTACCCCCAACCTGTAAAACCAGCTCCTATCCCACCACCCTCTGCTGACTCTCTTTTCAGACTCAGCACACTCAAACCCAAGTGAATAAACAGCCTTGCTGCTCACACAATGCCTGTTTAGGTGGTCTCTTCATTCAGAGCACACTTAACAAAGATAACTTACAGCCTTTTAATAACTCCACTTATAAATTTCCCTTAAAATATGGACTTACGTTTTACAGTAATTTACTTTACCATGAATGGGAGTTGCATGCATATAGCAGGAAAGAAAAAGAAATAATCTCTAGAGAGAAATGAATATAATTAGAAAATCAACATTATAGAAATGTAAAACAAATGCCAATTGTGTGTTCACACAAAAGCAGGACCTTGAGTAACATATACTCAAAGTCAGGAAGGAAAATGCAAACGACTCTTAATATTGTCTACTGAATTATTTATCTGCAAAATGCTTTACAGAAAATGCCCATGAGGAACCATCTAGACAGCACTGCCTCCTGCCTCTGCCTCTTCCTACAGTATGCTCTCATTCCTAGAGCATTTCAGAAAAGCATGTTCAAGAAAACAACATGTTCCTCACAATCACCTCTGATTACCAAAAGTGCTATCACATTCATTAGCCTAACATTTAGTTCATAAGAGCATCTGCTTCTGATATCGCCAACACATGACCTTAATCTGTGGCCAAAGGCTAAGGCTGAGTGATAACATGCATTCTCATGTTTTAGTGTGATTTTTACTCTTTATTCTTAGGTTGCATATAAAATTTCCTACTTCTCCATACGGGATCTTTTAAAAAAAGGTCTCTTTTTGTTGTGTGATGGTTGATGTGTATGTGCTTGAGTAAGCTTTTGTCTTTTGCTTTTTTTAATCGCCACCACACAGTTTGGGCAAAACTATTTACAGCAAAGTTAAGATTCCCCAAGAATTGCTCAGATATCTCTATTTTCAATGCAATTTGCTCCTGAAAGAAGTGCCTTAGCCTGTCAATTTCCCTCTCCCCACCTTTTTCTTTGCCCCCAACACAGGTGAAGCTCTAAAAAGCAACATGGAGCAACTCTTAAAATAATTGAGAGAAACTACCTTAAAGATCAGCAATCATGTATGCAAGCCAATTCCTAAACACAAATCTTAAAATAAATGTCACTGTGGGCATTGAAATATATTTGGCTACTATGTTTATATTTCCATTTGATAACTTTAATATAAACAAATTATTTTCTAGTGTTTTCAAGTTACAGAATCTTTAGTAAAGATATCACTAAGTCTTTTCCTTAGAACTTACTTTCTAGGATGAAAGAAAAAAACCAGCAGTCTGAATGAAAGCAAACCCTAGTTTCATCCTATTTCAGCACACCTCAAACTGTCATCTCATTGTCACCTTTCATTAGCTGATACTCCCTATTTCTGTTTTCTTGTCTGTATACCAACGGAGCACACACAAAAAATCACTGCAAAATATTAGATCTCGCAGATTCTGCTATTGAGAAATGGGAAAGTAAAACAAAAACCTACATTCCTAAATGATGAGTCAAAATCAGTATTTTCATATGCAAAACTATTATTTTTGCATAATACTTTTTTTTTTTTGCAAAGCATAATATTATTATGATACACCACTCACAAAATGAAGAATTCACATTTCCAAAGAACCTAGGGATGGGAGTTCTTCTCCTGATCAAAACTAAAGACCACCTACCAACCAGTATTCTTTAGGAAAATATATTAAAGAATGCAGTAAGTTTGAGTCAGTGACTGGAAGTTTATTTAGGGTAAAGAATCACTTTACACTCCTGTTGTTGACATTAGTAAACTGTCTTCACAAAATAAGAGATACATATTTGCTTACGCCCACTTTAGTCTATATTTTTAAAGTTTTGGCCAACTTCACCAAATGAGTCCAACAAATTCATCTTAAACACTGCAAATTTCAGGTCATCTAGAGGTTAAGTGTAAACTGGGAAGAAGTAAAGGCATTTATATTCCTGAAACGAATACATATTAAGCATGGCAATTTCCTAAAATATAAGATATGTTAAAAAAAAAAAAAAAAAAGAAAGAAAGAAAGAAAAAGAAAAAGAACCGGAGTGATGTAAGAAAACTTACTTTAATTCCATTCATGCAAATTTTTAGGTCTTTGACCTTGGCATATTTTTTTAACACCTCTGAGCCTCAGTTTCTTCATATGTAAAATAAAAAGGCTGGACTGTTATAAACGCTATGGTTCCTAAAAATTCTAAAACTCCAAACTTAAGCAAATTCAAGAATTTTAAAAAACAAACATAATTACAGGCATTTAAGTCCAGGAATGACTAAACCAGCCTACTACAATATGCAATCATACTGAAAACATTTCATTTTGGCTCAAAATGTTATTCTACTTTAATAAGGGTGCTACCCAGATAGTAAGCAAATACCTGTACATTGAAAATATTTTTACAGCAAGCATAAACAGTTTGACAGTAATTTGTATCATTCTCACGGGAAAATAACTTCTCCAATCTCATCTTTCTAGTCTATGTAGCAGTGCCAATTTATAGGCATATAAAATTTGAAATCTCTTCTGTGCATCAATTATAACTTACGCAGCTCCCTGAGCAGCATTTAAAAAGCAAAGAAGTGCAAACAATATTCTGCTTGCTGACATAGTAAAAAATTTAGCTAACATAGCTTTACAACTTCACAATTTAACCACAATCAAATATCCGCTTTTCAAGAAAGGAAAACGACTAGGGCAATATCCTAAGAATAAAAATCCATGTTCAACTAAACCATCCCTGAAATTATCTAACTAAATTGTTCAAGGAAAAGGGCTAGAGTTTGTAAACCCGGCTAATACTATTTCTCTTTGTTATCTAGGTACTACAAGCTATATAATTCTGTATTTTATTTAAAAAAAAAAAAAAGAAGAATGCTTGAAACCAAAAACATACATATTTAAGCAACATATTAGAAAACTAAAATGCAATGCAACATAATCTTATCCCATTTATCCTACTGTGATTATTACATATTATATGCCTATATTGAAATATTTCATGTACCCCATAAATGTATACACCTACTATGTACCTTAAATAAATAAATAAGGGATTTTAAATTTAGGGGTTTCTCTGTTTGTACGATACAGAAAGATGAAATAAAGCTACACAAAAATAAACTTGGAAGGCTTGAAAGTTTTGTAAGAGTTCCAGAAGAATCAATAAAAGTAGGTCATGATCAAAACTGAACAAAATGGATAACACTTATAACAGCTAGAATTTAAGTTAGCCTGGAATAAGAACTTCCTAAATGAAATATTTAGAATTTATATTTATATCTATAGGAGTATTCTATGGAGGATGGCAAGGAAGGGGCAGGTAATGAAATATTTTAAACCTTTGAAAAATGGCAGTTCTGATGGAAGGTGATAGCTTTAGCAGGCTATGCTAATAGAAATTTGGGCTGATATTTACATATCATCTTCATTAGTGTTACCAGAACTATGTTATAGTTTTGTGTTGGAGGAGAGGATCCTTTTTAAGCTGGATGTGTTTATAGGTATTCAGTTATCATTCAAAAAATATCTAAACCGGAAAAAGAACCAGAAAATCTTTTTTTAGTAGTATATGCCCTTCTATTTTCCTGGGCAGGTAACCAAGTGAAACATAACACCTGTATATTCTTACAGTCCAAAGGGCCCAAAGAGTCAACAAAAATTCTGAAAGCCCACAAGTGTAAAAATCCTATTTCCAACTGCTTAATTTTAGATTACTCTGATGGAATGGAGTTTTGAGAATTTCCTCTAGAGCAATCATGTGCAGTTATAAGAGGTGCAGAGGCAAGTAGTTTCTGGTCAGCTGTAGACCAGAGATAGTCCTAGAGTGCCCTGCTAATAGCACATGGCTTGACTAAAATACAGAGCATAATTTAGTCTCTAATTTGATCAGTTTGAAAATCAGACCAAAAAAAAATTGGGCACTAGGCTAGAACCTGGCATATAAAATATCATCAGTCCAAAGGCACATTTTCTTCAAAACTATTTTGGAGGTCTTGTAGGTGAAACTAGATCAGGTTCATTCACTTCCCTCTATTTTCATTTAAGATTCAGTTTCTTTTGTTAAACCACTAAGCAGTTTTTAAAAATTGCCTGCTAAAGTAATAAACGTAAAAATTTCATCCAATTCAAATCAGACTATATTTACTTCAGATTAAACAAAATTTTATTAACATTCTAGACAGCTAAGACCCTAGAAGAAGAAACTGACAGTTTATTTTTTTACCACCAGTCATAGCTTATTTTACATATGTGTGTATATACCACTAATTCTTGGAGCAACTCATGCTATATAAGAATAAATATATAGCATGAGTCAGCTAAAGTCCTATTTCCTAAAAGAAGGGTCAGATGACAAAGCTCACTGACTTTAAAAAGCTTTCATGGCACAATATTTTAGATGAAAACGTTTAGTCTATTCTTTAATTCACCTAAAGACACATGAAGCAAAAAAAAAAAAAAAAAGCCATTTTGAGTCAAAAGAAAATATCTTGTCAGCTGGGCGTGGTGGCTCACACCTGTAATCCCAGCAATTTGGGAGGCAGAGGTGGGCGGAACATGAGGTCAGGAGATGGGGGCCATCCTGGCTAACATGGTGAAGCCCCATCTCTACTAAAAATACAAAAAATTAGCCAGGTGTGGTGGCAGGCACTTGTAGTCCCAGTTACTTGGGAGGCTGAGACACAAGAATCACTTGAATCTGGGAGGTGAAGGTTGCAGTGAGTGAGCCGAGATTGTGCCTCTGCATTCCAGCCTGGGTGAAAAAAAAATATTCACCACATTCACAAAAAAAAAAAAAAGGAAATACCTTGTTAATGAAAAGTAAAAGGGAAAAAAAAGAAAAAATCTCAGCAGTCACTGAATACTTCTATAAACATCACAAAATTTCCATTCGAAGTCACCAGAAACCCTTGGGTTCCCAATACAATTTCAATCTTGTCTTTGCTTCTGTATATTATACTTGATATTGTTGTTGTTTATATGTGTGTGTGTGTTTTGTTTTTTAGTTTGCTTATGCAAACAATAATAAGGAGAAAAATATACATATGAAATTTTTAAAGCCAGTTTTATCTAAGAAAGTGATCATAAATTTGGAAGACATCAACACATATCTTTGTAGAAGTAGCTTTCAAATTGCCTATCATTCTCACTATAGTACAAATTTAGGTTATGATGAGGCCCACAGCGATAAATCCTGATACTCAAGAGCTACAGTGATGACTAACATCAAATCACTGTCACTGTCCTGTTCAAAACATAATAGGAAAGAAAACAGGGTGAAAAAGCTGTGCTGGCACAAGGGGGTTATGCCTTTTTTCTTCCTTTTTGAAATTACCATTAATGTTCTTCTCTTACTCATATAAATAAAATGCACAGTCAAATTGGCATAACTAACAGGACTTTGGGTTTCAAAGATTATTGACACATTATTTGTTCCCTTGGGGAAAGGAAGGTGCTTAGTTAAGAAGATGATGAGAAAAGAGAGTGCTTAGGACATGGAAGGAGCTAAGAAGCGGGAAATTATGAAGCACGATATTGTTTCCAATTAAAAAAATCTTTAATAGATTTTTTTAAACTCTGCCTCAAAAAATCTATAGAAAATATGATATATACCTGAAAGCATAATTTTTAACATTTTTTTAAAAACTTCCTAAATGCCAATGGCTTTCAATGAAATTAATCTAGTAAAAAACAAGCATGAATTAAAAATTAATTTTTAATATGCTATGTATAAATCCATTTAAATATTGACAAACCTTTGAATAATAATCCCCTGGTAGGACTTTCAAATCAGAGTTGTATATTTTCATAACACAATGTGTTTTTTTGTTTTCTGTATATATCAATTAATTATTAAGAATTTCTCATTGGGTGCAGTGGCTCATGTCTATAATCCCAGTACTTTGGGAGGCTGAGGTGGGTGGATTACTTGAGATCAAGAGTTAGAGACTAGGTTGATCAACATGGTGAAACCACATCTCTAATAAAAATACAAAAATTAGCTGGGCGTGGTGGCTCATGACTGTAATCCTAGCTACTGGGGAGGCTGAGGCACAAGAATCACTTGAACCTAGGAGGCGGGGGTTGCAGTGAGCCAAGATCACACCACTGCACTCCAGCCTGGGCAACAGAGCAAGACTCTGTCTCAAAAAAAAAAAAAAAAAAAAAAAAGAATTTCTCTTTAATCCTCAATTTATCAGAAAATGTAACCAACTTTCAGTAATCATCTTTTGTTTTCACTGGATTTCCATCTGTGATGGAGGCTAATGTTCCTCATTTGAGGTATCATTTTTTCTAATATAAGCAGTTAGTTGTGCTACTAGGGATTTTTTAGTCAACTAGCCTGGCTCAGCTTCAGTACTATAAATACTATTATATTACAAAAGAAGGCTACAAAACAGATGAAAAGTGAAAGGTTAATATACCAACAATTATTTGTCACCTTATTGTAACTGGCCCTATGGCATATAGAAACTCCAAAAAACAGCAACCATGAGCGCTCCCTCAAGCAGTTTAAAATTTTAAAGAGATTCAGGTCACTTAACACTAAAATACGAAATTCAACAAGAGTCTACAAAGTACAGTTAAAAATTATGTGAAGATCTACAGCACATTTTTATTTCAAGCAGTTTAAAATTTTAATGAGATACAGATCACTTAACACTAGCTAAAGAAAGCAACTGGGAAACACCAGGGAGTACAGCTACACATGTATATTTCTATAGATCATACCAACTATAAGGAAAACAAACTTTTCAAAAGCAAATATAATTTCAACAGGAATATCTAGATATTTAAATATTTGCAACAAAATAATGAGCCCAACCAAGCTCAATTACTAAATTTATGTTCATAGTATGTAGGAATTCATTTCCCTAAAACTATTTAAATGGGATTTTTTGGTTGATATAATTTTTAGGTAAATGTTATGCCAATTAGGACTGAGA